AGAGACTGTACTCCGTGAAGACTCAGTAACATCCCAGACCTGGTCCTGGAATCACAATTGTAATGCATTTTGTGTTTCCAATGTTTGGTGTGACAGTATTATATATTTATATTTTTATAAATATATTTCTTTACCCACAGAACTGCTTCAAGACGACCCATCGTTGAGAATCCTAACAATGGTCGTGACAGAAAAATGCTGTTGTTTGGATCTAACCTACGCTGTTATTACACTGCTAAAGACCAGGTGAGAAAGACGTGATCACTAGCTTTTCTGTCCTTCAAAGCAGGTTGTCTCCAAAGTGTTGTTGACATCGGTATGTCTGACATTTTACTTTACTCTAACTTCTTGTTTTTCAAAGCAATAATAGGTAACATGAGGGTTTTCAGCAAGAATGTTGAGGCCGGATTTGGTCATTTTGACCATGTTGGCAAACATGGAATGTTGAGGCCGGATTTGGTCATTTTAAGTTGAAAACATGTTTGGCAAACATGAAAAAAAAAATTGAGTTTAAAGATTAGAACTTCAGAATTTCAAAACATAAGCCTCTCCTATTAACGTTAGATAATTTGAATGATTTTTGATGTCAGTCCTATGGACTGCATTACTGCCACCTACTGACTTCATTCTAAGCAGCAAAAAAAGAGAAGATACCGCAGTTGAACAGCTAACCATGTATTCCTGGGGCCAATTAGAAATGACTGGGAGATATTTTCTTTCATGATTTTCTTTTAGAGAATTTCCCACATCCACTACTTTTAACTACTTTCTAATTCAGCTGCGCTGTCGGTTTCATCCTCACTGACATATCCATACACACACACACCAGCGCGCACACGCACACACACCAGCCGAACTCTGTGAAACGAGACGTTACGAGAGGCCGGCCGACATCTCATTTGAAGACTAATTAGGTTATTTAGAAAGCAGCTGAGGGCGTTAATGGTTTAATACGTGCTGTTTGAGCGCATGAATACTAAATCACATTCATACTGTACCAGTGAGTGAAAACTCACTCTGTGTGTGTGTGTGTGTGTGTGTGTGTGTGTGTGAGTGTAAATGTTCTATTGAGATCCTGGTGGAGGCAAAATGCACAGCTCAGCTTAAAAAAGTCTAACTGCTGTGATAGACCACACGGAAGACCGGTGCTTGTTTGCTGACACACAGTTGATTTCTCGAAAATGCACAAGAGATCGGAGGAAAAAAAAGAAAAGAAAAAAAAAGTCGTACTTTTCTCTCCCTTTCACTCTCAGGCAGATGTTTCAAGGTTAAAATAAAGGTGTGAAGTTTAAGGCAAACTATAAGCTGATTTCTATAAGCAACACAGCGGGCAAAGTTTCTTCATATTACTTTGCGGCGTATGGATGGCTGAGCCACGTGATGGGAGGTGACACTTCATGCTATATATATGTTATTCTCACTCAGCTCACCCCTTAAGCAGCAACTCATCTCCGGAGGAGCGGCACAAGAGGGAGAAATGACTCCTCTGGCACAAGAGAAACAGACAGAAGGCAGAGAGCAAAATCCAGAGAGTGAGGGATCCTGGTAGGGGAAGAAATGAGAGAGGAAGTGAAGGCAGTTTCTTGACATGACCTTGAACACCCTCTGGTACTACCTAGAGCACAAACATTGACTTGGCATCTTGAGGATATGGAAATCCGTCCGTGTCAGCCATTATTATCTATGGCAGCTCACGGATTTGATATTTCTAGTCAGCTGACACGAGCACCACGCAGAAGAGCAAAAATCTGAAGGAAGAAGGAAAAAAAAAAAAGAGAGAGAAGGAAAAAGTTTGGGCGTTAAGGAGGAGGAGAGGGAGTCAGACTCCAATGACCTCATACCGTAACCTCCTCTGTTAAGCCATCAGTCTTTCTGACCCCTGTAATTAGCACACAAAGCACAGGAATGGAAAGAGCTAGCTTCAATTGGTCCCTGTGAGACTCTGGTCTGAGCCTACAAATAAGATATTGCTGCATAGACAGTATTTTACTGAAAGCAAAGAATAGATTTGTCTCCTGGCAGACACAGCAAATATTTCATCCAGGGTTTGCCTATGTGGCTTAGAGCCTTGTTGGTATTAGCGCACCTAAAAGTTGGTGGGAGCTTAAAGGCCACATGGGAATACTACGATATCAATTACTTCATACGCACACACGGATACTGCAGGGATTTACACACAAACGCTCAGTGTAAGCAATGAGACGGGAAAAAGAGAGGGAACAGGTTGGCAGTGTTCGGGGAAATTACATGATAACTGGCTCCATCTTTTTGTAATTGGCTAAATCTCTGCTAATTCCGCTCTATTATGGATGTCATTTAACATGCCGCTAAAGGGAGGATTTTCATCTCCCCCTCAGCTTAACTCAACATGGAACGCCCATGTTTTTTATCTTATCTGGTACCCCACACCGACAACCCCGGGGATGGAGGGCAGTCAGCTGATGTAATTTAATAACTAACAGCAGATCACAAAGCGGCTGACTGCAGGAGGAAAATTGTGGAGGAAAACCTGAAGCTAAAGACGGCGGTAGTTGAACGTTGGATAGTGAAGAGAAATTAGAAAGGCCTTGGGGGTACGGTGCCCTTTGACCTCTCTATCATTTGAAGTCAAAACACCTACGATGTGGGTTTTTTCGATGCCTCTGCAAAATTTAAATTATGTAAAGCTATTAAAAAATCTAAAAAAAAAAGAGGAGTAGTACGGTTGCAACTAACTATTTTAGACAGCTCAACGATATTTTCATGTTAGCCAACTACTGCAAAACGACAACTGAAGAGGGACCTACGGAAGCCATATTAGATGAACATTTTTACTTCTTAGATAATTCATACGGTAAGATAATTAAAGGATCACTGTGAAAGAGAAGGTGAGGGGAGTTGAACTTCTGTCTCTGCTCCTGTGAAAGGGACAGGAAGTGAAAGAGGAAGTGTGGCAGAACCACTTTACTTATTCATCAGGTCTTCCACTTCTAGTGGAAGCCAAGTTCCACAAGGATGATAAATGGCATCCAAAGGCCCACGTGGACAGGTAAGAGGAGGAGGTAAATAATGGAACAGCCTGACAAACAAAGGGGGCTCCGTGATGCATTGTCTAAATGTGAAACGAAGCCACAGGTGTGTGTGTGTGCGTGTGTGTGTGTGTGTGTGAGCCTGCATACGTTAGTGTGCAGTCAGTTAAGTGGGACTGATAGTAGCTGAAAGTCTTCCCTGTCTCCCTGTCACCAACAGAACCCATGTATGCTGAAGCCAGCTTCTTGAAACTGATCATGGCAGCACCAACTCTGAAGTGACATGGTGGGTGTATTCCCTGCACACCCAGGGAATGGACACACCAAAAAAAGGCTAAATAAATAAATAGAAAATTAAATAATTAAATGAAGAGGGGAAATTTTCATCGAGAGTAGAAATGTAACTCTAATGCAGCAGGAGGAGGTGGACAAGAAAGCTATTAAGGCTAAGCGAGGGCCGGGGGTACACTCAAGTTTTACACTCCTACTCAAGGCTGCACAGTGTATCCCACACACACACACACACCCACCCTGCCGTTCCAGCTCTGTTCCGTCTGAACTCTTTCTCCGCGCTGAGCTGAGCAGACTCAAGGAAACGGTTCATTTAAATGTACATAATTTGCTCTCGAAGGCTCACTCTCGGCTCACTGTTCCCCTGTGTCTCCGCAGAGAAACGGCTCAGGAGAGACAGATACAGAGAAGAGATTTTATCCTGTAAGAATTCACTGGTCTGGGCAGGAACACTGGCTGGTTAAAAGCCAGGCAGAGTGAAAACAAAAACCAGGGTAAGTGAGAGCTTCAGGTACAAAGGGCCCCGTTTCCCTGCAGGCTTTCAAGCCAACATGTGCTTTTTTTTTATCTTCTCTGGCCACTGCACAGTGATGAGACTCATATTTAATAACATTTTGTCCAGTGAATGAAACTTTAATCAAAGAGAGGACAGAGCCATTAAAAGGTCAGTCACCTGAAGTCCACCACTCATTAATTAATAAAGTCACTACAGGGAAAAATCTCATTGTCGGTATATTTGCTATATTTTCATCTCTCATAAATTGGAAATGACATCCAAGAAAACCCAAACCATTGTCTTAATCTGACTAAAACCATGGCTGTGAAAGTGAACGCGAGATTAACCACAAGATTTAATGCACTTACAGTAATGCTTGTGGAAACTGAAGCTCACTGCATATCCAATGTTCTAACCATCCATGCACTTATCATTGCTCGAATACACATTTAGTGCACGCATTGGCATTAGCACACACTGTGGAACGCACCTCAAGCTTAAAATATCTACTCAACGCCCAGCAGGAGTTCGCTTCAGAGGCTTCAGCTGCAGGTCAGACACCCAGTGTCAGACCAGCCTCACTGGGTGCATGGCAGTAAGTAAGTCGACAGCTGACAAAGTGACTGACACAATTGTGAAATGCAGTGCGAGGAACTGTAGAGTGGTTAATATTGTTGAGAACAAGAACTTCACCAAGGTTTTGAAAGTAACTCTTGACTCGTACATAGATTTTCTTTTGTCATATTTAATAATGTTGTCTAGATTATTTATGATTAATCAAGCCTTAAGAGATCAGGATTAATCATCATTTATTTATATTATTATTATACTTCCGCCTTTTCCCTGCAATACCCACGTTTCCCCAATAGATGGTGTAGAAAATGATAAAAGCATTTTAGCATTTTAGCCTGTACTATATGCATGACTTTTACATGGCATTTATCTTAGTTCACATAAACGCTCTGTTTAATTTTAGGACAATTGTGGCCCGCGAGTTTAAAAAAGTTTGCCCACGTCTGTGCTATGGTGTCTACGCCGACAATAAATTGGACTGCGTTGAGAGAGAGTGAATGGCAACTGAGGTCCTTCAACATTCTGTATACCAACAGACTAGTCTATAGTAGCCAGTCTTGTCCTGTATACTATCACACACATGGGGGCAGTATTGTCAGAATAGTAGGTGCCAACTGGCTAAATAAACTTACAGGAAAAGCTGGTGACGTTCTTGGGTTTGAATTAGCCTCTGTCTCTCTCTCTCTGACGCTGGTGTCAAGGAACGGTGCCAAAGCTCAGGTTGATCGCGAACAGTGATTGACATCCACTCCATATCGTGCAGGCTGGACCTGAAGCACCTGTAGCGAAAGACTTAATCAACCGAAGAACGCCACAGGAAGTGATTCTTTTCTCATTCAATTTACTGAAATGCTCTTACAGGGTCAACTGTATGATTAAATAGTTCCTGCATTTCTGATTCCAATACTTTACCTGGAATTGACCTGAAAGCGGTAGAAGCAACACAGGTCATCAAGATGATATCATTAGTGCACACTCTGCGCAGGAGCACACACTCTCCAGGTGTATGACTTGTGAAGAAGGATCTGTGAGGAAGACTAAATAATTGTCTCTCATTTATATTTGACACCATCTAAATGTGTGGCTGTGTGATTGGTGTTTTGATTGGTATCTGTGACAAATGGTGGCACAATTAAAATCCTGGTGCGAAGACTAAGAATAGTTATAACATAATGGGTTGAGACAGACAGCTGAGAATGAGAGTGAGACAGGACAGAAGGAGACAGAAGGAACGGTGGGTTTGGAAAAGTGATTTGGCCTTTGTCAAAGTCAACACTTGACCTTCTGTGGATCGGGATATGATTGTGTTTACAGTGTTGCACAAAGTGTTATGTTGTCAGACGATGCTCGCCATGTCAGAGTTAGCGTAGGACGTCAGAATGTCAGTCAACTGTTTGCTTCGTCTGGTGTGTAAAGGTTTCCAAAAGCTATATTTGAAAAGGCTTCGCCACTGTACACTTGGGCTAACACTGCATTATTCAGGGCAGTGGCAGAGAGTCGCACGTTCGTGTGTTTGGTATATAAACATGGAGTTTGAACAAAGCATTCGAAATCTCATTCTGTACGACCTACGTCCACCCAAAAAGATAATGACAGTGGCAGGGTAGAAAATGTTCATGAAATTGAGCAAATGTTTTCTGCAAAAACAGCCATCGAATATGGACAGTTCTGTTGGACAGAAGCCCACAAGATGAAAAAAAAGAGGCTATATGTGAAAAGGTTCAGGAGTTAATAGTTCTGGCATGAACTGCTTACAAGTTTGCAGAGTGCAGCTAAAATAAAACATAAATCAGGTGGAAAAATATCCCCTTGTGTGCTGTCAAAACCCAGTGTCCCCAGAGTCAAAAGATATATAGTGGTATAATGTATTTTCTGCACACTCACTTTGATTGGTTTCCATCACCTGGTTATACTGCAGACTGATACCGCTGGTAGGTTTCAGCACTACAACATATAAAACAAATGACTAACATGTAATAGGATGTAATAAATAAATTAATAAAATTAATAAAACAGACTCCTACAACAGAATTAATACATTTACTATGCACACTATATATGTTCATATATTTATATCATGAAAACTGAAGTAATGCATGCTTCTCTTGGCTAACACAATTAATTAAAATAGAGTAAAAATTATGATCATAATTGAAATAAAAAAATCAGAGCCTAAAACTATCACTTTTTCATTTTATCTAACTTAAACTGTGTGTGTGTGTTTAAGTTCAAATGTGATTTCCATTACTTATATTATGGAATATGGAATATATTACTAATAGACTGACAACTTCAAGACGAAGTCATATGAAGTTGTATACTTGTAGAGCTCAGACTTGCAAAACATAAACTTCCTCAAATTACTAACTTTTTTTTCTCCACTAGACTTGCAAAACATAAACTTCCTCAAACTACTAACTTTTTTTTCTCTTGAAAATGTCATGGAGATTGAACTGCCAGAGAAGAGAAAAGACGGGGGACTCAAAAGTAAAGAAAAGCACAAAAACAAAAAGAAACACAAATGAGTAGCTCATTAGTAGTGACTACTTTCAACCACATACAACGGGCTGCCTTTATCTCCTGCAACTTTTAATCCCTCCTCTGAGAAACGCCACTGTTCTCTTACTGTAAATAAGATAAATTATACTAATAACACACACATATTGAAATACTCTCCCTCTTCTATCACACACACGAAGAGCTTAAGGCTTCCAGTCCAGCAGGACAAACCAATTTAACTTTTGTAATGAAGATCTTTTCCTTTTCATTGTAACATGGAGCACATGCAATGAGATGGAAGTGCTGACCACGCTTTAAAAAAAGTCTAAGCAGCATTAAATACAGATGTGGAATGTGAATATGTTACATGCTTAGATCTAATCGGCTGCTATAAACAAATCAGTACTGTCGCCCTCTGTACAACAACCGATGAGTGACAGCAACATCTGTCGTTAGCCAGCGATAACTTGTACGACACATCACTCGCACTGTAGAAGCAGATGGCTTCCACCGACCATCTGCACGAACAATGGTTTGATTAACGCAACCTGTTTGCTCATACGTTGGTGTTGGTGCTGGTGTTATCGCTGCAATCTGACTGTTCTGAGAACTGAAGAAGCCTCTAGCCGTCCAGTTGCCAACGATGTAACTATTTTTGAACTGAGTACTACGTAAAAAACTCAAAATAATTGTCCAGAAGTGATGTTCTAACATCATTACATCTTGAAAAATGACAATAGTCTTTTTTTTTTTTAATTCCGCTATAAATAATCAACCCCATACCTACCCCTCAGAGGAGCCACGGTCAAAAGAAAAAGTTGCAGTTAGGATGACTGCCAACAAAAGCAGTTTATCATTTTCACAGAATATTTGTTTAGAAACTGTAGAGAAAACTCCAAGTTTAAAATCTATTTACACTTTCTTCCCATTATTTATTACTGAATGTGTTAAAGGAGGTGTGCAGAATGTAAATTTCTTGGCTCCTCTGAATACTGTATGTTCATTGGATCATTCATCTTCTACTGTACCTGTACTTTATCCTTTTCTGTGTTGAAGCCCATTCTAACAACGGGTTGAGGGCAGGTCGCACCCAGGGCAGGGGTCTAGTCCGTCCAGAGGTCACATATGGAGATGAAACAACACCAAACAAACACATATCTTGAATATTTATTAGGTCATTGGAAAACATTAAGCTTAAAATAATTCAAAATCATATATAAAATCGTTTTATTTGCTTTAGCCATAGGTAATTATAAGTCAATGTGTCTTTGTTTTTAAGTAAATACACAAGTAACATTAATGAAGCCTCCACTAAATAATATAACTTAGCTTGTGTCTTAAATGTGTAACGTAATGCATTCCCTGGTGTAATTCCCTCGAGTCACGACCAACACAAATGGCTTTAATACAAATTCATTTGAATTCCCCTCCCAAATTCGCCGTTAAAACACTTCGCGTCGTGTTCGTTACACGAATTATCTCTGGCCTTCAGTTTCTTCACTAACCAATTGCAAACACTTAAAATGGCTCTTAAATTAACTGCGTTAACTTAACACCTACATATATACACTTTGTAACCACTTACTGTAAATTGTTTTTTTTTTTATTTCACTCCTGCACCTGTGCGTCGTAACTTCCGGTCTTCTATCCCTCGTTTGCCGGGACAGAACTACGGAAATAGAAATTAAAAATAAAAGCGGTAATTTCAAAATAAAAGTTGACAACTCTAAATAAAAAATAAATTAAATAATGGACATCAGCTGAAGCCAGAGCAGTGGGCTAACTAAAAGGATGCTAAGCTACTGTGGCAGGACATGTTGCCTGAAGAGGTCTTTGAGTAAATTCTGTGACTCACAATCTGCCTGGCACTGTGGATGTAAGAGAAGATGACATGTAAAGCTGACAAGTACACCATGTCTGACATATGTCAGCTCTAGATGGCTTTGTTAATTTCCCACAGGTTCCCTTAAATCACTTTCAAACTCTCACTTGAATCTTCACAACATCCACTTTTAAGGCAGATTGCAATAACTTCCTTCGACACCTCCACAGCATTTTTTTTTCTATAAGTTGACTGTACGAGTCAGTCTCATTAAGAAGTAACAGTGTTTTATTGTCTATGGATTTTCTTTTCTTTTTTTTACTATTTGCTAATAATCCTACCATCTTTTTATAGCACGTGTCTGCCTTCAGTCTGTCTGGAAACCACAGACTCAATTAGCTGCAGCAAAGACTCTGGCCTTTTGGCTGAAACACTCTCGTCCTTGCCAAACTTTGCCAGCTGTCATGGCAACGTGTGACTCGTTGACATTTTCAGTCGGTGTGTTTATCACCTCGTGCCCTCTCTGTGCTATGTACACCTCTGACATTTTGGAAGGGGTGGAGTTGGCACTAAGTACACAAGTGCCTCTGCTGCTCAACAGCCTCCGTTGTGGAGTCTTCATGTGTCTGCTAACGAAGGACTGATTGCGCGCTCATGTGTATGCATGTATGTAGATCAGTGTTGCCATATGTACGTTTCCCCTCAGGAGTTGGTTTCTCACTTAAGCTGTTGCATCTCATCTCCATGCCAAGTGCAAAAAACAAACAAAAAAACTACACCTTGTCCAGTCAGGGTCTGAATAAAATATCTCTTTATAGAAGATGCATGTGTGAAGGAAGGGTGTAAAGGCATGTGTGAGGACGTTTTGCTTAAGCCAATCGCTCGGTAATTGAAAAGTGAATAGAAGAGGAAAGTTGCGGGCTCATGGCTCATGGCCTAATTTGGCAGATGGCTCACTGAAGCTCTCTGTGGAGCCATTCCCCTAAGTGTATGTCAGTTGATATGCGGGTGTGTGTATAGGTTTCTGCTTGTGTAACTCTATGGAGAAAAAAAAAAAACAACAACAAAACAACTCCTCTTGATGATTCCATTTCACACCAGTTTCCGACACTGAAGGGTGAAAGCCATGAGTAGTTTAGCTGGCTGAGTTTTATTTTCCCTGTGTTTCACTGGTTACCCCTGGTGGTCTCCTTCACCTTGCAGGGGCTCATTAACTCCTCTGTTTACGCTTATTCCCAGGCAATCAAGCAGGTTAACGTATTCTGTTTAGGAGATGTCACCCTGGGCATTTGCTGTTGCCTCTGCAGTTGGACATGTGCTCTGTGTCTGTAAATCCACCCAGTGGAACAGCAACACTCATTTATTATGACTATCTGCAGTTAACAATACGACCTTGTCCACTTGTACATCTGTGCTCTCAAATCTCCTTCTCACTGTGGACATTAAATTTAAAGCACTGCGAATTCAGCACTCAAAGTTTATCGTTAAAGGCATTTACCTTTTAACTTGTAATAAAAAAGAAAAGGTGTGATATTTCAAGGCTAGATTGGATTTAAAGTGACACACTACGTGGGTCTCAGGCTCAGGTTTGTCAGGTTTGCAGATTTGACCAGTTGTGGTTACACTTCATGGGGCAGTCACTGTGGCTGAGATTCTTTCACCAGCTCTGCAGGTAGCGCCCCCATCCCTGCTACTACCTTACCAATAAACACTCACCAAACACATGAAATGTGGAGGTTGACTGTCACATACAGTATCTGATTCATCGTTAATGTGAGAGCATCAGTCGAACCCCACAAACAATAGTAGTTCCCAGTGTGCACCCCACATTGGGAACTACTGGTTTATGTACATAAGGCAGTGGTTCTAAACCTCTAAGATTGTACGATGTGTTTTTAATCAAAATTTTACAAAAGATAAGAAATAGTTGCAAAATCAATTACGAAACATTTTAGGTGACCCCGTTTGAATTCCAGGTGACCCCGTGTGGAGGTTGAAATCCCATGGTTGAAAAACACTGGAATAAGGGTTAGGGGTGTCATGGGTAAGTTTGGGGAAAGTGTGTGTATGTGTGTGTGTGTTTGCACATACGCAGCTGCCTGAAAGTTCAATCACCTGTACGAACAGCTGCGACCTTCCACTTCAGTGTGAAATCCTGTTTTTCCGTCCAACATCTAATAACTGTAATTTCTGTTCATATTCCCTCGTGCGTGCGTCAGTGGAATCTTTGTTGCCCCCACAGATTTCTTTCGTTCTTTCTTCAGTGCCTTTATTTAGGATATCTTCAGGAGCAGGTTGTGTGTGAGCGTCTCCCAGCGTGCCTCCTGGCAAACACACCGCACACTGACACGTCTCTACGTGTTAATCACGGCTGTCTATTTCCCTCCTCTCCTGCCCTCCTCCAGATCTCCAACGGTTCCTCCTCTCCTCTCTCGTTAATTCCCCCCCCCCCCTCTTTCAGGTGACGCTGTGACAAGCATTACCCACGTTCCATTAGCCTGCAACTGACTGAGCTTAATTAGAGGAGGTATTAGTCAGAAGGAGCAGATTGCTTAAAGTCGTGCAAAAATCTGGTAGCTTCTGTTTTTCCTCAGAAGTTTACTTGATAACAGACCTCCTTCAAAACAGTCTTCAAAAGTTTTATTTTCAAAATTTTCTAAACGTTGCCAGCCGAGTCGAGAACCTCTCTCCCTCTTTGACATACATTTTATCTGCATACTGATGTCTGAAGTCCACATACAATGGCCTATCTTGTAGGAGTGGGCGTAACGTGAAGACTAATATCTCCTCTTTGACATCTGGCACCGGCAGTGCTGAGCTGATCCACCTCGCCGCGGGGCCTGCTTCTCTGTCTGATGTCCGCTCACGCAAAAACCCCACTGTAGTCTGAATGCGCTCGAAAAAAACACAAGGCTGGCAATTAAAGTCATGGAGTGTGAGGCTACTGCCACCCACGACTAAAAACCATTGGGCGATAGTGTGGATGAAGGAAAACTATTCTGATCAGTCTTACCTGCGCCACTGTATTTGTTGTACTCATTATTCATTTGTATTTATATATTTATATAAGTTGCATCATGTATGTTATTTCAGCCCACTCAGGACTGACTTGTTTATGGTCCTCCATAAATTACTTAAACACAACACCAACACAAGACAGAATAATAATAATAAAAAAAAAACAGATCCATCAATTATTTACAAATAATGTCTCTATTAATTTGACAGAATCCTGGTTAGCACACTCAAATGAATCAATTAAACAGAAAAATAAAAAACCAATAAAAAACACATCATTCTTGTGTTCAAGCAATTACCCGAATAAATAAAATATTCATCACGCTTAAAAGTTGGCGTTGTCATTTCTCAGAATATTAAGAAGTAGACCCTTTTGAATTAAAATCCAATACAGACAAAATCAAAATCAATATTTGAGATAAATGCTGTAACAATGAGGCACACCATTTGTGTATGTGAGGGAGTGAGGAGTCCAGCAGAGGTCACTTCAGTGCACAGACGTTAATACAATTCAGTTCAGTTAATAAATACATCTGTACGTGGGTCTGAGTGAAGGTAGTTCAGAAAAGATCAAAAGTTACAGGGTATGTAAGAGGTTTGTAGGCAACGGTGAGGGGTCAGAGTTCGGACGAGAATTGTGGCCAAAAAGAATATTCTTTTTTTTTTTACACCTGTGTAACTTCCCAGACAGACAAGGTCCAGTAAACAAAGCGGGTCACCAGGTAGAACCAGGTTCACATCACACCGCTCCAGGGATCAGCTTTGGTCTCCACAGCCTTAAATGTTCTCAACAGGTCACTTCTTGTTTCATCCTTCCTATAGCTACAATTTTTTTTTTTTTTACTTCTTTCCAGCTTCTGAGCTGCAGCCACTTCTCTGTGTTTGAAGACTCAGCCCCACAGGAGTGTCTGACTTATCAGCTCGCCTCTTCCTTCATTTCATCTACAATGTTTTCTTCTATGCATTTGGCATTTACATTTTTTCCAAATGTGTGCAATTGTTTTAATTTTGTTTTTCCATACCAACTGTAGAACACTCTCTGTTCTACTTTGTCTTGTTAGTATAATCTAAACAACATTGGCCATTGTGGATATTTGCAGTACATTCTGCACTTTTCACTTTGGAGGAAAAGTGAATTTTGTTTTCATTATAAACTGCCCACCCTGAGGCAGAATGTGTTTTGTCAATGTTGTCCATATCAATGAAATCGACTCAACACGACTTGACGTTAATGTTTCTGCTGTAGCCTTCAGCTACAGTATGACCAGCTAACATCAGGGCTAGCTTGGCAAAATACAGCACAAATCACATATTTATGTAGATATACTGTGTAAAGTTAAAAAAACAGGCACAACAAGCATTCTTAAGGCAGTATGTACAAATGACACGAAACACAAAATGTTGCAAGAGAAATGTTTATTTCCCATCACATTTTTTACCTTGCGCACCCCCTAGTGGCAGTTCACACACCTCCAGGAGTGCACAACACTTTGAGAATCCCTGCGTTAGACTAATATATTATTTTCCTCACACACCTTCTTTCACGCCTTGTGCTTTTGCATCAGTCTTGTTACGTTTCCATTTACAAATATATCATTTCACCGTAGGTTGCTTTTCGATGTTTTCCATCCCGGCCAACTTTCAGATTGCCATGAATTCCTGACTTTAAAATAATGCATAAATAATATATTTATTTACATATTCAACGTCCTGTTTTGCGAAAACATTTACACAACATTTCACGGCTGTTTGCCAACTAAAACGCTTCCTCTCCTTCAGACTACATAATTGAACACCATTAATGCAGCAACTGCAGTTTCA